AGTGCAGTTCGCTCCAAACTGAGTGAAAAAGAAGAATAAACCATACATCATGATAAAAGGACCGGGATTCGTTCGCATCAAGTTGAAAATACCGCCCATAATAATCGCAATCACGCCACTCATTACAGCACCAATAATTTGAATATTTCTTGAACCGATATAGTCCGCAGTGAATGCAGAGACAAAATATCCTGGCAAACCAATTAATAAGATAAGCATGCTCGTATACTCTGTGAAAACCAAGTTCGAGGACCGAACGTCTGTCTCTTCCAAGATTGACTTTGTCATTTCCGACGAAAACAGACCATTTGAGTAGAACAAAAAGTCATTGATGAACCAAGTTCCTGCAGTTCCAATAAGATTTACCCAGTACTTGCGGAGAACCAACAGCCAAGGAAGATTCTTCCTAGAAAGACCAGCTATCTCATAACGGGTGGAGTTCCTCATTCTCCATCGAAGGATGTAAATAGGTATAACGGGAACAATACTTGACGCTAGTGCGACTCTCCAGACTGGCTCAAAATTGCTCGGGTTCGCCTTTGCCCATTCAATTAACATTATTCCATATACGTAAGCTGTGATAGTTCCTACGCCTTGCATAGCAAAGACGAGGAGTACATTTTTTCCCCTTTTAATTTTCGCATCTTCGCCTGCTTCGCAAGATGTCGTTGCAGCACAAGGGTACTCACCACCAATTCCAACACCCAGAAATCCTCGCACTATTACAAGCATCCAGAACATACCCGTCTGAGAGCCGTTTGCTCCAAAGGACACTGTCTCTAAAATCGGGCCAATGAGAAGGATCGTCGCTGTGGATAAAAGCCCTGCTTTGCGGCCGATACGGTCGGCAAATAGGCCGAAGAAGAGCATTCCGACGATGTCTCCTACAAGAATACTGTTGGACACCCTGGTTTTCATTGTACTAGTAAAGGCGTCTGGATAACCTTCTGTCCAAACTCCATTAAGAATACTAACAATAAAAATGTTATAAGCATCCGTAAAGAAACCCACACCAGAAACTAAAGTATTGATAATAGGAGATCGAAATCCACCATATAATTTTTCTTCTTCCGCATGTCTTTGTTGAACCACGACATCTGCTTCCTCTTTCAACTTGTTAAGTTCCTCGCCAATCCGGCTTCCGTCCACGACTGCCATAACCTCTCAAGAGGAAGTTCGTAATCACCCATACGCTTAAAAAGGCTTCCCATATCCGATCGTAAAGATTCTCGTAGATGCGAATCGCATCAAAAGAGATTCCAACTGTGATTCAGAACTATGCGGAAACCCTTCCACGACGTCGTGTACAGCTGTCCGATTTCAACAATATATTCACGACAAGGTTGCTCAAATGCATGTGATCTAGAGAGAATCTATTCATTGAATATAATAGTAGATGTTTGCTTTATCCTTTTTTGGGCGTGTTTATTGTCCGACTCAACTCTTCAGCATTGTCGTTTCGACACATTTTTTGTAATAGGTAGGATTTATGGGGACTTTATGCACAACAGTATAGTATCTTTTGACACTTGTTCATTGCAGTCAATTGAATGGCAACAATAATTCAGTACTTGCATTTCTGCTCAGTTACGCATAGGCAATGTTTGTCTCGTTGAAGTTGAAAACAATGCGAGTATTTATACCTAAACTATGACTCTTAATACATAGGAAGATGAAAGAAAATAAATTTCTAAAATGGTTTACAGAATTATCTAGGAAACAAGTTGAACTTTGCAAATACAAGCAACAGCTATACACTAAGATGATCTTAAGCCAGTCAATGAAATCAAAGCCCTCTTAGTGTTGCTATTTACTCGTGTTGAGTTGAAACATAAATTATTCAATGGGCTTCTGTGGAATTCCGGTCCAACCAATCGAACACTTGCTTTACTGAATTCTCTTCACGAGTTTCGTTCCTTCAAACTGAGGAGCAACAAAGCCCAATTCTTGCGCAAGCTTCGGAGGTATAAAACGACCACCAACGTAATGCATACCAGAAAACGACAAGGCACATTGTTTTGGGGCTGTTAAAGAAACAAGCATATCTGGAATAAAACCAACGTGATAAATGTCGCCTTCATTTACATCCCATCCCGATGGTATATCTACTGATACTTTTTGGGCATTCGATGCTTTAATAGATTGAATAATATCAAAAAACGGAGGACGAATTGCTTCCTTAGACGATCTTCAAAGATTGAAACGACACAGCAACATGAATCTTAAGCGAAACTTACTTTGAAGGGTCAACTCGGAAAGAGAAACCGAATATAGCGTCGATGATAACGTCAGGTTTCTTGGCTTGTTCCCAAGCTGAGAGAATAGGGATATCCAAAGCTTCCAGTTGTTTAACCAGAGACCCAAACAGGCTCTTTTCAGTCCTCTTTGGATATAGAATACTAACTTGGTAGCCAAAGTGAAAGAGATGCCTTGCTGCTACTAAACTAATGGTAGAAGAGACGAGAAATAATAAACGCTGCCAAGGAGAAACGAAAGGAGCCGTTCAACTTACCCATCACCTCCATTATTTCCTGGACCACAGACACATAAAATGTGAGAGCGACCAGAGGAAGATAACGGATATTGTTCGGCAACCGCCAACGCAACTGCCAAACCCGCCAGCTCCATTAGCTGTTCGACAGCAAACGAATACTCAGGTCCCATCAATAGTTGGTCAACTTTTGTTGCTTGTTCTTGTGAAAGATAGGATAAAGTAGAAGACGCGGAACTCGACATGCTATTTAGAAAAAAAGGCTTGTTTCGACGTCTTAAGATTTTGTATTTTGTAGTAAATAAACTGGAAAGTGCTGCTTTCGCAAATGATCTAAGCCCTGTCGGGAACAATGATGCCGAAGAGCTCAAATACATTTTGTATTATTTTAATTGGACAACATTTTTCAGTTAGCTTTGCACTTTTAAGTCTCTTTGCGACTCCGAGGAATATCTCATATATGGAACTATGACTTGTAGATAACGCATTTTGTTCACGAGGCGCTGTCAAGTTCTCAATGACAAGAACTCAAGGATAGAAAAGGTATCTCAAATAGTGAATTTTAAAACCATTTTCAGATATTCACTATGTCAAGTATCAAAATTGTTGTCTCTTTTGAACTCTGTTTCACTGTACCAGTTGTATTCATGTTGGCAATATCAGACCGTTGGATCTGTAAAGGATTGTCTCGACTTCAAGCTGATATTTTCATATATTTCCTGTAAAGAAGCCAATTGCTTTCGCATAAAGCTAACTTCACGGTAGAAACTATTGCTATTGTATCAAATTGAATTGCTATTCAAAACAATAGTTTGTCTATTGCTTGTCAATTATAAGAATAGTTAGGATAGTTGCTATTTGCACTCAAGTAGTGTCAATGCACAAAAAAAAAGGTTGTACTTTTCTTATTAGATATCTAGTGCAACCACAGGTTTATCCTTTAAAAGTGCAGTTCTCACAGGCTCTGAAAATACGCAATCTTCCTTTCCCATCGAATCTTTCTTTTTCAATTTTGAGTGAAAAGTTTCTTCTTCTTGTTATGTCTTCCTTTATGGATGATGAAGAGATCACTCAGGAAGATGCTTGGACTGTAATTTCTTCATACTTTGAAGAAAAGGGTCTCGTGAGACAACAACTAGACTCTTTTGATGAGTTTGTTACTAATACCATGCAAGAAATTGTGGACTCTCAACCAGACCTCGTGTTAACTGCTGAGCCGCAATATTTACCTGGTCAACGTTCGGAAGACTTGGATAAACGATATGTGGTATCTTTTGGACAGTTGAGTTTGTCAAAACCAACTTTTACAGAAGACACAGGTGAAACGAGACCTTTATATCCTAATCAAGCAAGACTTCGAAACCTTACCTATAGTTCCGCTTTATATTGTGACGTTACTGTAACTGAAGTCAATTTAGAAAGTGGCAAAGAAGAAACTTCACAACATCCCCCTATTCGAGTTTTCTTGGGAAGAATTCCTATTATGCTCAAGTCACAGTTTTGTCACTTGTATAATTTAGAGCCTTGGGACTTGGCAGAATTGGGAGAGTGTCCATATGATCAAGGAGGTTATTTTGTGATTAATGGAAGCGAAAAAGTGATTATTGCACAGGAAAGGATGACTTCTAACCATGTTTTTGTATTTAAGCGCTCGCAACCTTCGAAATATTCTTACGTAGCAGAGTGTCGTTCAGCTCCAGATTCTGGAAATAGGCCACCTTCTTTGCTCCAAGTTAAACTTCTTAGAGGTGGAGCAAAGGGTATTTCTGGTCAATATATT